CCTTTGTTCTCAAAGTTTCGATATCAGCTCTTAGAATTCTGTTGTCGACAGCAGCTGCATCATACTTATGATTCATGTCACTAAGACGACTAAGTAAAGTTGAATGCTCAACTCTTAATTGGCCTACCTACGAAATGTAGAAACTTTTCCTATAAATCAATGGAAGACTGCTGCACAGCAAGAAAGAAATTGAGAAATGTAAAATATACATATGAGCAACAACTACAAGACAAGAACCTGTGTATCAAATTCATTCATTTGTTCTTGCTTTCTTCTCCTGGAGCGCCTAGCGGATTCTCGGTTTGAGAGCATCCTGAGTAATTACCATATATTGAATCAGGATGACTTTAAAGTAATATAGATATAGAATCTGATTTGGTCCTCATGATTATTTTTCCACTATCATATGTATCAAAAGATTTTCCTAAGAGCAACATAAAACTAACTGAAACAGTCCCCTCCAGAGTTCAGTTGTTTCTTCTCTTTAAAGAGTTTAGAAACACTCAGCTGCATTCCCGAAAGATTTTCAAGTCAAGCGTATGTATATGTCATCTCGAGATTCAGAATGATTACTAGAAAGATTCCAAGATATAAAAATAAAGATTTGTACCTCCTAGCACGCTTCTTATCAGTAGGATCTCCATTATCTGTTGTTTCTGTGTCTCCATCAAGATCATCGTCATCAGAATCATCTCTTGATGAAAGACTGGTAGTTTGCCTGACTGGAACATCTGGTTTCTTTTGCGTGCTTTTTGAGGGAACAAATCCAACAGATGAAGCACCGGGTGAGATTTGCGCCACAATAGAACCTAAAATAGTTGAAATCATCCCATTATCTACCAACCGAAACACAGATTTCGTTCACGTACATATCGCAAGGAGTGTAAAGTAGGTAGAGTTTTAGTAGAATGCACTATAAAGTATGGAGTTGCAAAAAGGATGATTCTCATCTATCAACTCATACGACTTATAAGCAAGTTAATCAACAAAGTCACAATTCTCTAGCAAAATTGACAAACAAATTTCATGAAATGTTTGCTTTCTAGGTACTCTAAACATGAAAACTGAAGACACAGAGCCAGAGAAGATCAAAAACAAGTCAACTATAATGGTAACCTTGAGTTTGAGCTCCCATCGAAAGAGACTGCTTTTGATTTCCACCTGAAACACTCGAATCTTCCGGCTTCACAGTTCCCACCTACAAAAAACCAAATCAATCAACACACAACTAAATTTGCCTTCTGATTCATTTTCTATTCAATATCAAAATGTTTGTCTTCAATTCCTTCGTATGAACACAAGATCGAGATGGGATTTAGAGACGTACACGACGAGCAACCGCAGCGCAAGCAAGATCGAGCTTGCTCTTAAGAATCGCATGGTACTGATTAGGATCAACCACAGCTGAATCCAACGGATCAGACGACGGAGCACGTTTCCGATTACATCGATCATCCGAAGGAGAAACGCGGTGATTCTGCGGCGGCTTCTGTATCTCGACAACATCGGCGGTTTCGTCAACGCTCTCTTCTAATCTCGAAAGCGATCTCTCAGACTGAACAGGTGGAGGAGATGACCTCTCGATTGCTTCGCTCGTAGGGCTCGCATCGGAACCAGACATTTCTTTGAGAAGCCTCTGAAACGCCCACTCCGATTGACTTCGAGTCATCCCTTCCGCCATGGT